TGTTGTTGTTGTTGGGAGGCCGGTTTTGGCGGTCCCCCAATCCTCTCGAGCGTGAGCCTCGTTTTCAATGAAAATGTAGCCGGCGCCTCGGCGAGAGCGCCAGGGCGCCTTTAAGGGTTCCAACAATAACAAGTGGCACGCCTGCCATGGCTCCTGCACAAAACGGAAGGGGGAGGAGGAGGAGGAGGAGGTGGAGGAGGAGGGGGCAAACAGGGCCGCAAGGTGGAGGAAGAGGTGGAGGAAGAGGTGGAGGAAGAGGGCTTCTGAGAGCGAGCTCGAGGAGACTCCAACTGGGGCAGAGGGCCACGGGGCGGGGGTCCAACTGGGGCGCTGGGGACGGGGGGGGGAAGTGGTGGGCGGGGCTCCCGCTGGGGCGCTGGGGACGCGGAGGGGCTCGGGGCAGAGAGCCACGGCGCGGGGGTCCCACTCTGGCGCTGGGGACGCGGGGTGGGGGGAGGCGACGCGGAATAACGTGTTCGTGGCGGAGGGGGCAGTGGGCGGGGCCCCCGCTGGGGCGCTGGGGACGCGGGGGGGGCTCGGAGCAGAGTACCGCGGCGCGGGGGTCCCACTCTTGCGCTGGGGATGCGGGGGGGCTCGGGGCAAAGAGCCACGGCGCGGGGGTCCCACCCTGGCGCTGGGGACGCGGGGGGGGTGCGACGCGGAACAACGCGTTCGTGGCGGATGGGGGCAATGGGCGGGGCTCCCATTGGTGCGCTGGGGACGCGGGGGGGGGGGGCTCGGGGCAGAGAGCCACGGCGCTGGGGTCCCACTCTGGCGCTGGGGACGGGGGGGGGGCAGTGCGACGCGGAACAAGTGGCACGCGTGCCATGGTTTTTGCACAAAACGGAGGGGGAAGGAGGAGGAGGAGGCGGAGGCGGAGGCGGAGGAGGAGGAGGAGGAGGAGGAGGAGGAGGAGGAGGAGGAGGAGGAGGAGGAGGAGGAGGAGGAGGAGGGGAGGAGGAGGAGAAGAGGAAGAGGAGGAGGAGGAGGGGAGGCGGAGGAGGACGAGGAGGAGGAGGAGGTGGAGGAGTAGGAGGAGGAAGTAATGGAGTAGGAGGAGGAGGAAAGGGGGGAGAGAGGGGGGGGGGGCGAGACATCGGATACGTCTCGGGGGGGCGGGACGGCGGGGGCGGTGCGACGCAGAAGTGAAATGGTCGGAGCGGAGGGGGGGCGGCGTGCACTGGGCGGGCGGGGAGGGGAGAACGATCGTGGGGGCGGGACGGTGGGGGCCGTGCGACGCGGAAGAAAGCGTTCTTGGCGGAGGGCCGCTGGGGGCGCTGGGGGCGCGGAAAGGGCTCGGGGCAGATGGCCGCGGAGCGGGGAGCCCACTGTGGCGCTGAGGGCGCGGGGGGAGGGGCGGGGGGAGGTGGGTGTGCGACGCGGAATAATACCGCGTTCTTGGCGGAAGGGGGGGATTGGCGGGGCGCCCGCTGGGGCGCTGGGGGCGGGGTGGGGCTCGGGGCAGAGGGCAGCGGAGCGGGGGCCCCACTGTGGCGCTGGGGCGCGGGGGGGGGGGGCGGGGTGAAATGGGTGTGCGATGCGGAATCAGGCGTTCGTGGCGGATGGGGGCAATGGGCGGGGCTCCCATTGGTGCGCTGGGGGCGCGGGTGGGCTCGGGCAAAGAGCCCGGAGCGGGTGTCCAACCGTGGCGCTGGGAACGCGGGGGGGGAGGGGGGGCGGGGGGAGGTGGGTGTGCGACGCGGAATAAAGCATTCGTGGCGGATGGGGCAACGAGACCCCCGGGGTGGAGGGCCGCGGAGCAGGGGCACCACTGGCGTTGGGGGCGCAGGGGGAGGTGGGTGTGCGACGCGGAATAGAGTGGTAATTGAGTGGTCGGAGCTCTTTTGACACCCTCTGCAAGAGAATAAAGCGTTCGTGGCGGAGGGGGGCAGTGGGCGGGGTTCCCGCTGGGGCGCTGGGGCGCTGGGGGACGCGCCGGTCAGAGAGCCACGGCGCGGGGTCCCACTTTGGCGCTGGGGGCGCGGGGGGGGGGGGGGCGGGGGGTGTGCGACGCGGAATAAAGTGGTCGGAGCTCTAGACACCCTGTGCAAGGTAATAATTGTTTAGTAAGAAACACTCAACAGCGACAACACCAACAACAATCATTTTAACACTGTTCGCTCTTATCTGATCGAGTGTCCGTTAACGCGTATTTCCCAAACCTTCGATACCCGCCCTCTTCGTCTTCGATCGTGCCCCTTTTGGGGGGTATATTTTTCTTTCCTGCAGACCGGGCCCCGGCAAGCGGCGGGGCGGCCGCGGACCGTCGGCCTGACCAGCGGCAGCGCTGATCGTCGGCAACCGGACCCCAAGAGGGACGGACAGGGAACCGACCACGACGACGACGACGACGACGACGGCGACGACCACGACGACGAGCGAAAGCGAGAACGAGAGAGAGAACGACAGCAGGGCCACGAAGGGCACGAAGTAGGCCACTTTTCCCGCCAAAGGTGGACGAGCCAACATATTTCCCGAGAGCATCACCACGTTCAGTTCGCACAGCACATGACAACAAACAGTGCGAGCTAGGGGAGAGGTGAGGAATCGAAACGCTAAGGGTTCGAGCCACAGGAGAGGGGCAATCGATGGGAACATCGGTAAAACACATAAAGGGTTCGAGCCCTCGGAGATGGGCAGTTTATAGCAACAAACGTAAAACTAAAGTGAAACACAAAGGTTTCGAGTCCCAGGAGAGGGGCGACGAAACCTACATGGGCAAAGCCTACGGAGGCAAAGCCTATGGGGGGGCCCAAAAAACATTCCCCCAACACAAAAGTAACCCAGCACAGAAGAGTATGTCCTGGGGCCTCTTGGGGCCTCCTGGGGGCGGGGGGGTGACAAACGCTTCCCGAACACATGTCCCAAAACAGAACAACTAATGTTTCCGATAGCCTTCTGGGAGAGGACGGGCCGAAAAGCGGTCCCCGAACATATATTTAATTCAAACAACATGTATTTGGGGGCCTCCTGGGGGCGGGAGGGCAAAAAACACTCCCCGAACACATTCCCATGGAGCCTTTTGGGGCTTCCTGGTGCCTCCTCAAGTAGCGGCGATACTGCTCTGACGGATTCCCCCATTCTGCTGCATCCTGCTGCATCGAAAAGAAGTATCAAGGCAATCGGCCGTTTCGGCATTTGCGAGTAGCAGCAAGAATGCTCTGAAGGACCCCCCTGTGGTATTGAATCGAGAAGAAATTTCAAGCGAAAAGGTCGTTCCGGCATCCGCGAGTAGCAGCAACCCGATTCTGAAAGACTCCTTGTGGTGCGAAATTGCAAAGAAATCTCCGGCGGAAAGGCCGTCCCGGCATCCGCAATTCGCGGCAATATTGCTCTGAAGGACCCTCTTGTGGTGCTATATTGCGAGGAAGTCTCAGGCGACAGCGCCTTTTCTGAGGTTCGGGCCCTCTCTGGCCAGGGCCCTCTCGGAGTAGTTTGTGGGGGAGTATCGCACGGGAGCGTTGTTGTTGCCGGCTTGGTCGGATCCCGAAACGCTTGAGCGTGAGTTCTAAGTGCAGAGGAAAGTCAGCCAGCGCGGGGGCGAGAGCGTCTGGGCGGATAGAGGGGGTCCAACAATTAGCCTTGCGAAGGACCCAACCATATGCAGTTGGGAGCACCGCAGCTCAATCTGGGTGGGCCGAAGGAGGGGGAGCTCTCTCTCTCTCTCTCTCTCTGGGCCACGACACGCGGAGGCGCCGTTGCCACGGAGCCGTCTCGCCGCAGCGGCCCCGGCGATACGCAGGTGTGGGTGCCACAGAGCAGGGCCAGAAATGTGTGGCAGGGGTCCTGGCATCGCTCGGACGTGTGCATGTTTATCTCGGCGAGGACCTTCGAGGAGCATCCTCGACCATTTGGCGAGAAAACCACGCACGAAGCCGAACAAAACACAGGAAGTGGACGTCCGAGCGATGGCCAGGGGTGATCGAAATGAGCGTTGTCAGGCACACAAGCTTCGCCCCTGGAGCCTTCCATGGACCCCCCCTTTATGGGGCTTGAGAAACCTCAGGGGCCAGCGACGTGAGCGTGGGCAGGGCGAGCAACATGATGCACTCGGCCCGCGACCGCACGCGGACTTTCTCGTGCCGGCCTTCTGTGGAGCTCCTCTGGGGCTTGAGAGGAGCGCGGCAGGGGGCAGCGACCATGGCCCTCGGCGAGTGCGGGCTTTCTCCTACTTGGCCCTCTGTGGAGCTCCCATGGAGCTTGCGTGGCAGGCCCGGGCAGTTGTCGATCCGCAGCGGCCGCTGCTCGCTCGTCGCCGCGGAGCAGCCACAGGGCCTGGCGGCCACGTGCGGACGACGACGACGACGACGACGACGGCGGCGGCGACGACCACGACGACGACGACGACGACGGCGACGACGACGACGAGGGCGACGACGACGACGACGACGACGACGACGACGACGACGAGGGCGACGACGACGACGACGACGACGACGACGACGACGACGACGACGGACGACGACGACGACGACGACGACGACGACGACGGACGGACGACGACGACGACGACGACGACGACGACGACGATGACGACGACGACGCCGCCAAGCAGGTGCTCGGAGGCCGTGGGCCGCCCGCGGCGGCACGCGGGCGGGCGCCGCGCCTGCGCGCCTGGCGGCGGCGACGCTGGCAGCGGCCGCAGCGGCCGCCGCGGCCTCGCGGGCGCCGCGCGGGCGCCAGCGGCGGCCCCGCGGCCGCCGAGCGGCGCCCGCCAGGCGGCCGCGGCGGCGCCGCCGCCGTGCCGCCCGAGCCCGGCGGCGGCGCGGCGGCCGCGGCGGGCGGCGGCCGCGGAGGGCGTCGCCGGCGCCCGCGCGCGCGCGCCGCCGGCGGGCAGCGGCGCGGCCGCGGCCGAGGCGCCCGCGGCGACGGCGCCGTCGCCTCCGCCGGCGACGGCGGCGACGGTGGCGAGGACGTTCCACGACGACGTCGGCGGTGGCCGCGGCGGGGGCGGCGGGCGGCGGCGGCGGCGGCGGCGGCGGCGGTCGAGGCGCCGTGGTGCTGCGGCGCCCGGGAGGCGGCGGCGGCGGCACCAGAGCAGCCCGCCGGGGGCTCGGCGGCGCCGCGGGCGGAGCAAGGGGGGGTCGGGGCGGGGGGCCTCGTGGGCAGGAGGAGGGCGCCAGCTGTGGCGCTCCAGCAGGGGCCTCTCGCCCTCGAAGGTCGCAGCCGCGGGCACCTCGTCCTCGGGGAGGGGCGGCGGAAGCGAGGCGGGGGGCCGGCTCGGCTCCGGCGGCGGAAGGCCGGCGGAGGGGGGCGGGAGTACAGCTTGGTGTCTCACAAAAGGGCAGTGCTAGCGGGGGGGATGGGCTCCGGGGAGATGCCCAGAGATCCAACGTATTGAAAAAAATCAAGACGGAGGTTTTTCGCGAATTTGACGCGGGGCCTCGGGACCGTCAAAAAACAACTCAGGATGAAAAACCGGTCCTGGGGAGTGGGTCGAGACTTCCGGGGGCCGCGCATTGAAAAAATCACGACATCGGATCTCTGGGTGGATCGATCCCTAATCGCCCATTCCTCGCCGATGGGGGCCCGATAGCTCCCCCTGCCCGGCAGCGTGCGAATTCGCCATCAGGTGCCCATCGCGGATCTATCGGCGACGTGCCGCAGATTCCAGGCTGATGTTTCCCAGATGGACTGGTCCCCCCCCCCCGAACGTTCCCCCTCAGGTTCGGGGTCAACTGCACCAGTCTTGGCCGGGCCCATCCTGGGCCGCGGATCGGTGTCTGCGCCTTCCCGGCTGGTCGGGGACTGCATGCACACCGCTCGTGGTCCCAGGATCGTGCACCGAGTTGGCGCCCTCCGACTTGGAGGCCCTTGTGGGGCCTCTTGCAGGTAATTCTGTTTGAAGCCTCCTGGATGCCTTGCGGCTTTCGGGGGCCTCGGCTTCTTGGGCGCCTTGTGTGCGCCTGCGTTCGGTCTCGAGGGCCATCTCGGGGGGAGGGAGGGCCGAATCAGTGGCATGAGGAGGGGGAGGAGGAGGAGGAGGAGGAGGAGGAGGAGGAGGAGGAGGAGGAGGAGGAGGAGCAGCAGGAGGAGGAGGAGGAGGAGGAGCAGCAGGAGGAGAAGCAGTAGCAGGAGGAGGAGGAGTAGCAGCAGCAGGAAGGGGACACTGAACATGCTGTCATCCTGACAAAAATGAACCAGACGGGTGCAGAAGGAGGAGAAGGAGGAGGTGGAGGGGCAGAAGGAAATAGAGAGGGGGGCTGGAGGAGGGAATGGAGGAGATTGAGGAGGGAGAGAGCATCGTGTGACGGGGTGCAGAGTCGTAGGGAGCAGGGAGGGAGCATGATCAGAACAAGACCAGCCCCGCAGCGCCGACGCTGCAGCCCCCCCCCCGGCCCCAAGCTCCTTCGTCACGAGCTCACGCAGGTAGGGTTGGTTCGCGTCGTGTCGACCTGGCGGCGACCCACACGGGGACGTTCAAGGCTGAACGCCTTCCGGTGGCCCAGATTCGGCCGTCATCGAACGAACCGCGGGGTCGGGAAGCAGCGATCGCTCAAGGCCGAACGATCCACGGTGTATAAGCATCCAGCGCCGACCTCGTCGAGGCACGAACTTGCTGCAGCCGTCCAAGCCGAAGATCGGGATCAGCCTGAGCAGGCTCAGGAGTCAACCGTAAATGCTTTCGCGCTCCTTCCGATCTGGGATGATGGGCTTGTTTTCCGCCACACCAAGTTGGAGGGGGTAGTAGTAGTAGTAGTAGTAGTAGTAGTAGTAGTAGTAGTAGTAGTAGTAGTAGTAGTAGTAGTAGTAGTAGTAGTAGTAGTAAGTAGTAGTAAGTAGTAGTAAGTAGTAGTAAGTAGTAGTAAGTAGTAGTAAGTAGTAGTAGTAGTAGTAGTAGTAGTAGTAGTAGTAGTAGTAGTAGTAGTAGTAGTAGTAGTAGTAGTAGTAGTAGTAGTAGTAGTAGTAGTAGTAGTAGTAGTAGTAGTAGTAGTAGTAGTAGTAGTAGTGGTAGTAGTAGTAGTAGTAGTAGTGGTAGTGGTGGTAGTAGTAGTAGTAGTAGTAGTAGTATAAGTAGTCGTAGTAGTAGTAGTAGTAGTAGTAGTAGTAGTAGTAG